GTTTAACTTATTTATCAAATAGCATAAATGTACATTAAAATGTATGCAAGTAACATATGTTAACAATTATAATTAAAGCTATAACGGTATCTTTTTATTCATACAGGGCAAAGTACTGACTCATTGTATTTTAATGTCAAGGGAAGGTGATATAAATATTATGTTTATATAAGTTGTGTCGATGAGGTAGTAACTAGCATAATATGTTATGACTCACATGCAGGTCGCTTTTATTATCTTCATAATTAAGCTTGTCTTTTATCTGATTATAGATTTATTCTTTTTAATATTTATTTTTAAAAGTGGTTGAGCCCACTTTAACATCTTCGCACGAATCGGCCTGGATCGCCCGGTGACGACCACACAGAAGACAGGTGTCAAGCGGAAGCAATTCCGCGTTTCGTCTGATGAGTGTGCGTCCCGGAGGCCTTATTTAGTCCTCTTTCCCTTTTCCTTATAAAGAAAAGGATGGGAAGTGGAAGTGGACTTTTCGGATGAGAAGTTGCATGGAAAGGGAAGATATTTTCTTTCTGCAACGCATATGCAATTGCGTATTTCTATGGGCAGCAGTCACTTCCCTATTTCAGCGATTTCAGGTGGCCGCTCGCGAGTTTGCCACCTTTTGATATAAAAAAGTGAAACTTGTATTTGGTTTATCTTAAGAATAAAATATATAAATACGCGATTTAAATATTTACATTTATTACTGATAGTTAAATGTTGAAAAAAAAATGTCTGGCTCTTGGACTATATTGTACTAACCCTTCACTGCTGAATAGAATCAGTAGATTTATTTTATTTATGCCTCGCTCTGGCCGGCCCGTCACAACGTGGGTTGAATATACACCTTAAACTTTTATGTGAAGGCTTTGAGCTTTAAGTGACAGGATCTGTAAAGCGTGCGCAACAAATAAAAATAAAGAATAAGTTTATAACTTCCTTACATGTGTGCTTGTTTTGTTTTTGTAAATTACTAAGTATTCTTTCATAAAAAGTATGCAAAATATGCACATGTTTGATTGTCAATTTAACGTCTCCCTCTGCGAGAAATGCAGATTTTAATAGTACAATAATAACTCTATGCCTAGTCCATTTTTTTATAATCAAAGTATGCGAGGCTAGTAGATACACGACCCTAAGATAACGTCGCTTTCGGCGTTTTACTCTTCTTACGAGTTATGATGACCCTTTGGTTATTTTATTTGTAGAATAACTTGTGTAGGCGATCGGTAATGGAATAACAATTAACATTCAAACGCTAATGCTTTCACACGAGGACAGAGGAATAAGGTAGAACAGTAGATAATGCAGTACTGCAATTGTTTTATGCAACATCAAGAGTCAGTCTACTGTTTTGCCCTCGTGTGAATAAGTGTCAGGGTGTTGTTAAAAGTAGGCGTAATTCTTCGTCTTGTTTATGAGGCAATCGATGGCTTTATTTATTGTAAACCGTTAAATTATATTATATGTGCTATTTGGTAAAAAAAAAATGATTAACACATAATTTTAGCTCTACCGGATTTGGTTACGTAACAACCGTTATATTGTAAACTAGCTATGCCATTGTTCGTTGTAGTATTTTTCAATGTGTGGTTGTTTTACACATTTGCACACACTTTTGCACACAGATGCACATATAGCTGACACAATATTGACCGTGAAATTTACTTTCAATTAGTCAAAAATAATTAGTTTTTAAAAGCTTATGTACGTGTAATTAATTTTTATTTATAACAGTTTTACCCACTGTTGCAACACCCTTGTGAATTTTATAATTAAATAGGGGTCCAGTTCACAGCTGGGGGATCAGGTCGCAACCTGTGCTACCTGCCAACAGGTACAAAGGAAGGCTTTTCATATATACGCTATTATAACAAAGAATATTGACGGAACTATGCCTTTTCAATCCCGCAAATTCCCCCTGGACTAAACAGTACTTTTAACTTATAGAACGTATCACCAAATTTAATACTAATATTATAATTTCCAAAGTTTAACAATGGATTTATGTTACTACGTTACTTAAATACTAGATATATCAAGATTAAATTAGAAGTAGAGCTAGATTCATGGGTGTCGACAGCCGAAGATTTAGGCTAGGTCTAGAGAGGAGCTAACATTGACATGGTCTGATGCGTAGCAGTTTTATATGTTTTTTTATAGTTTTCAAATTCTTTAGGAGAAGGCAGCTGACTAAACCTCCCCCCCCCCATCCGATACTAACGGCAACGTCTATGGCTAGATCACAGTCAAATTTTAACGTTATATTATTTTAACTAACTACAGATACAGTTTCTGATAGTATAAACACTAATAGCTTGTTGGTTAAGAGTATTTGAGTACAGATGTTCGATCTTGCGGTTGACGATTCGAATCCTACAAGACTTTTGTCGTGAATCTCCTTGAACAAGAAATGGTTACAAGAAATTTTACATTATTAATAAATATGTTTTCAGTTTTTTTTTAAATCAAGAAATTAAACATACATCAAAACAGCGCCATGTTTTCTTATATGTTTCAAGCTCTAACATTAATTTGAAGTCAGTATCGTTCCCCTCGCACAGGGGAGCGGACGTTCGTGATGACGAAGTGTTCTTTTAAATTTTGTAAAAGCGTAAAGCCGCAGCATCCTAAAAATGACGGCATGTCGTACTTTCGGTAAGTTCATCTGCAAAGTTATAACAACCATATTCTAATCTTTGTTATTTTAAGATAAATCTTTATCGAGTCTTTGAAATACTCCTCAAATTACGTAATTCTTATGTAATTTGTATGTATACCAAGCATGTTTTATTTTATATGTCATCATCATCATCATAATCAGCTCACTATACGTCCCCACCGAGGGGCTCTGACCCTACCCTAAGTTAAGGGTGATAAGACCATAGTCAACCACGCTGGCCAAGTGCGGGTTGGTTGACTTCACACATATCTTTGAATTTCTTCTCAGATATGTGCAGGTTGCATCACTATGTTTTCCTTCACTGTAAGAACGTTGAATAAATGTACATATGTAAATCGAAAAACACATTGGTACATGGCGGGATTCGAACCCAGGACCCTGCAGATTGCAAGTCAAGTGCTTGACTCCAGAGCCACGGACGCTTGAATTTTGCATGTAGGTATCATTTAATTTGCACTATTTTTGTTATTATTAGCTCCTCAATCTCTTAATTGTCAGTAGCCTCACAAAATGTTTTTTATTTTAAAATACTTCTGTGTAATATTATAGTTTTCCTAAACATCTAATACGTCGAGAGAAATGGATAGAAGTAGTGAGACGGCAGAGAGATGAACCATATTTTGAACCAAACACAGCAAGTATAGTTTGCTCCAAACATTTCAATAAAGATGATCTTTATACCACAGACAAGGGTACAACACGTCTACTTGATACAGCTGTTCCTAATACAGTAAGTATTATATTTAACAGTATTTTAACATCCCCCTATATGTTCTAAATCTGTGCCAAATATCATCAAGATCCGTTGATATGTTCTGTAGATACCTACAAACAAACATCCATCCATCTAAACTTTCGCATTTATAATCTATAATATAAAAATAAATCGCAAAATGTGTTGGTAACGCATAATTAAACAACGCCTGGACCAATTTGGACAATTCTTTTTTTTTTAATGTTCGATGAAGTTCAATGTTGTTTGTTTTCCTTTCCCGCGGACGGAGTTGCGGGCGACAGCTAGTATTAGATAAAGCGTTTGACACTAGACGAAATTTATCTAATTCGAAAGACAAAGTCTCTTTGAAATACAAGGTTCTTGTAATTATACTACACGTATGTGGGTACTTTAAGATTCCAACTAGCAGCTCGAGTTTTTCCGAGTAGTTACTTTGACTGTGTTCTATTCAATGTCTCCTATGATATTCCGAGTCACCGTAAAGTTTGAATAGCCCTATAACAATCAACAGATTTTACATAAACCAACAATTAAGAGATTCTACAAGTTGTTTTTTCAACCTAGGCTATTTTTAATATATTTTTTAATAATATTATGACGTCTCGTATATATTAATTTATTTCAGAATCCTGTTAATTTGAATGCAACCACAATAGAAGGTGAAAATGAAACAGAAAACGATATTTGTAAACAATTAAATAAAGTTCAATCGACAACTACGCAACGAATTTACCAATATTCCATTAAAACTAGGGATAGTACAAATTGTAAATCAATTGATAAAATAA